GGTGAACTAAAGTACAGTGAGTAGGACGTGTACAGTATCAGTCCTATTTCCGGTTCCCAATCAGTCTAGCAGGACTGAGTGCAGAGGACTGGAGGAGACTGTAAGCAGGAACTGATCAAGCATTCCGCTTTAGCATACGCGTGCTATGCTCGTCCCTCTCTCCAAGTCCGACAAATTACAAAAATTCACACCCATATATCTATATAATTTGGTATAAAAGTCGTATTAAGCGGGGGACGGCACAGTAAGACTTGCAGTCCGATCGACCTAGTATTTACTAAGTTGACAACCCTCAAAGGCATGACTTTCAGAGATTACGATGGCTTAAAAACACAGTAATGGGATTATAGTGGCTTACGCTCTCCCAGCATAAATCCCATGCGAAGGTCTCCACGGTCTTCCCTATTTGACTATCTGCATACCGTAATAAACCCGTCAGCGATCGCACCCGAACCTGGCGGCCATATTCCACGCAGCCCCTAAACGTTCGCCCTTGGTTCGACCCGCTGCGGACTGTCGACGATCTGGGCGGATATTTCTGTTCTTTTAACCTTGTCGGCGAACAAATAGGGAAACACAAAGGCAACCCACCGACATATCCCTCAAATATACTGATACCCAAATGATCCACAAGTATCAAAACAATGGTCCGTAATAACAGACTTGCTAACGCAATCAGTAACGTTGTTAAATTTAGCGGAGCCTGATGCTCACCATCCTTCGTAATTTGAAGCTTATTTGTCTTTGACATTTTTGGAAAAAAATTTGACCCGATTGCAAAAACTTTGGCGGCTTTCAGTAGGATTCGAACCTACAACAGCAAGGGGGAAGGATTTAGTACAGCCAACGCCCTAGTCATCTGAGCTAAGACACACCACCAGGAACCGTGAGTTTAATCACACTTGGGTCAAGTTACCTGCCTAGCCTACTGCAAGGTGTGTAATACAACAGTTCCGATACAGTAAGTTGTCTGCCCAAACAGGATTTCTTGAACAAGCAATCTAGAATTCATCAAACGAATAACACCGAGGCCGCCGAGTTTTTCACAATTGGGTCAAGTTAATTATTCAAATCTGTCAAAACCCCCATTAATAATAATATGGTTTTTGACCTCTCTGCGCCTATGTGATTTGCATATAAAGTAACCGGAACCACGAGTTATAAGCTGGTGAGCGATTCAAGTATAACATAAATTTGTAAGGGAAAAATACTGATCGATAGAGCACTGAGGGAATCAGTCCTAAGGGAGGCAATACATTGGAATAGGAATCCACCCCCCCCCTTCCTATTCCGAGGACTTTTTGCAAATTTTCAGTGAGATTAAGGTTATTGTTAAGATTAGGAACATGATAAGAGTTAAATCAAAGTTATGACTCGAAAATATTTACCCTTCCTGGAAATTTGTGAAAGGCCATCTGGCGGGGAGTTTCTCCTCCGTGCCGTACCTTGAAGAGCAAAAACAGTACTGTTTGAAAATGTGAGAGAGCGATGTGATAAGAAAGACGAATGCAAAACCATCGTCTTAAACGAGTTCTAAATCCTCCAGAAAAAAAGGCAAGGACACAATAAAACATGTAAATAATAGCTTTGGTTGCCATGACGAAGGCAGAGTTTGGCGCCAAAATGATGATGACCTATTATGCCCCTCTCAGAGAATGTGTAGCCCAAGAGCAAACAGTTGGGATACAAAGGCAACACGATGCTTTCCGACACCCGGTAACTATGGGGACGTTAGTAACATAAACTAGACATGAAGAAATAGTGAAGATACAGATATCCATTGTATCACGTCTTACTCGCGAGCCTCAGCAATAGAAATAGGGTTAACCGATAATAAAAGCCCAAAAAGACGCAAGGCAAAGACGATACTATTTAAGTCAGTATGTCAGTAACAGTGGGACGAGACTTACTGTAATTTTCCCTGTTTTTCTAAAACAAAGAAGATATAAGAACCAAAATGAGAATCGTCAAATTATCTTAAAAAACCTTGATGTAAGTACTGCATGCAATACGCGTATTAGGAAAACTGGACGTAATTAGGTACATCTGGTAAGACTATCATAACCACGCAGGTCTACCCAAATTAAATACGTTTTGCCTATGCAAGTACCGTTCAAAATGTTCACGAGTTTACTACTAATAATAATGGTAATAATAAGTTGAATGCACTCAGTGTCAGTTGGTCTCTATGTCAGTAGGTTCCGAATGCAAAAAGCAAGGTGTAGTTAGCTCAAACTAACTTGACCTCAAAGAGGAAGGTGAGTGAACAGATGGATCACATTATTTGGCCAAACGTTATACAGATAATTCGGTCGGCCAAGTCACAGTTCCTCCGGAATATCAGCACATAAATTAATCTTCACAAAGAGGCGCTAGGATTAAGTGAAGCTGTAGAGTTTAACCAATGGAATAAGGACTCGAATGGTGAGAGTGTTGCTGCGTTTGGTTCTAAGATGTGTCCATATGTAATACTAACGAATAATGTGGGCTCATAAACGGGAGTCGGACACTCTGGAGGACGAGGTCTGCCTAAAGATGCAGACGCTGATCATTCGGAACCCAAGGGCTGCGTACACCAGAAAAACATTAAGGGGCCTGGCTAGTGGAAATGCAAATAAGCCAATTTAGACGCCTATGGAACTGTGATTAAACCTCATCTGGCCGGACTCGATACTGCCGCGACTTTTAACTTCCCATGCGTTAAGATCCGCGACAGCGGATTTTGTTAGCTCGATCCAATGTCTTCAACAGTGACGGACACAAAGCATCAAAAGTCCAAGAACCTCTCTCTTCATGGCTTATGCTGAGTCACATCTTGAACTGCTCCCTCTTTCAGGCGCACAGTGGTGCCGGATCAGGGACAGTTACGCTGACATCATCGGGCACACGATGAAAAAAATTTTAAACCAACTCAATCGTCTTTTTTCTGGATTGTCCTGAGATATCCTCTAGATGATTTCGCTCATCTTTCGCACGTATAGCCTAGCGTTCACAGTCGTAGGAGGCAACTGGACTGATGAATGTCAATTTCACGAGGAACTGTAAGGCGATGGGGATATTGAGTCGTACATATAACCAGTTCTCAGTGAGTGCAAAAACCCTGCTTCCGACAGAATTGGTACAAGAATAATAAATTGACCGTCAAGTTTCGACGATATCCACCACGTGCTTCGTGGTGGGTGATAGGCAAAGGCAGTGACTTGTGTTATATTTACCACACTCTTTCTTCCCTCATCTGCCAATGCTCCGTGCCAGGACAGAGTTAAGAAGACCAGAGGCGGGATTGGGCGTAAGTGGCTGGCACGGAGAAACCTGCA